CCAGACTGAGGGATCCAGTTCATGAGCCATGAACTTACCCAAGGCACCAATGCTGAGCACCTCTCCCTCCATTCTCTGCCTCGAGCAATATCAGTTCAGACCTCCCGCATCTCTGTTGTGAGCAACAAGGCTACCAGATGTTCTACGGTGGGTCCTTGTCTGGTTCCCCGTGGTTCAGCACTGCAGGGGGAAAGGTGCACCCCCTTCAATTGTGTCACCACTCTGCCCTCCACTCAGGTCCTGGAAGGGTTTACATGCCTGAGCTCCTGCAAATCCACATTCCTAAAGAAGGCTCCTTTGAGCTCTCTTTTTGAACGTGGGATAAGCAGAAAGAACAACAACGTTTTCACAGGTGTCCAGGTCACTCATTTAAAGTAAATGAAAGAAACCCAACACTGAATTCTTGGGTTCTTCAATCACCAACTTCAAACCCCAACTTTCCCCAGTAAAACCTGCTCCTTCCAGTGATACATGGATCCATCACATTTCTTACTGCAAGACTCATTTTGGGCAGTGCGACAGAGACAGTGGATGTTGTGAGTTACTTTAGATGATACTTCACTGAAACATCTTTAAGGTTTAGTACTTTTCGGGCTGATTTCATGTCAGCTGGAGGCACGGGGAAGCTGATGGTAACAACAATGCGTCATGTTTTCTGAGAGCTTTAGGAATTATTCATAAATGTTGAAATCTATAGCAACAGCTTTATGCCCACCTCCTCGTTTAATTGAGGCTTGCTTTTCAAACACCAGCTTTTAAAACTGATATTCTGTTTTTCAGTGCAGGCAGTGAGAGAGGAAGAATTTTAGAAAATTCCAGAGCCAGAATTAAGAAAAAGGCAAATTAAAATCCTTCTTTATGTAATACCCCATTTGTTCCAATAAAGAATCATAGAATGTCTTGGGTTGGAAGGGAACTTCAAAGGTCGTCTAGTTGCTCAGAACCACATCCAGCCTGGCCTTGAATGTCTCCAGGCCTCTGTAAGCAAGATGGACTTATGTAGGTGCTAGAGCAGGGGATGGTGATCAGGACTCCGGAGGGTATTTACAGCCACTACCCCAGGATGGTGGCCTGGGTTTCATTCCCCCTGTTGGACTTACACTGCAGAACTTGCTGTATTTGTGGGCTCGGACATGAAACTGAGGGGTGAAGTAGTGATTTCTGCTCTACTCTGGGATGGGAGGAAAGCAGGTTTGGTTTTGGGCTCTGCTGCAGTTTATGTGGATTTGCAGGAGCAAATCCAAACATGCCTATCTGCCCTCTGATTGAAGCGTATCTTGGGGACATAAAGTATAACGAGGCTCCAGTTGCTTTCAGCACTACCCATGACAATATGTCAGTGTGCCTAGGGAAAAAGCAGCCAAACTTACAATATAGACTTTATTTCTTTGGGAAAAGCATCCCGAATTCTTTCTCCCAAATGAGCAACATATAATTTGGCGGGAAGTTTTGCTCTTGACCAACAACTACATTTCATTCTAAAAGCTGAGATAGGAGAACTTCTGTGTTCAGGAACATTTCTGTGGGTATTTTCTTTCCCTCCCCCTGAAGCTGCACTGCAGAGCACTAGACATGGAGAAAGCAAATCAGAGAGTGATTCTGACTTTCCTTGGAAGAGAATTAAGGCTTCAGGCTCCAACCAGCCCTGACTGCACATACGAGTAACCACTTCAGCCCTAAGCGCTTTCTGAGCATCAGCACATCCCTTCAAGGTTTGAATCCTACACATCTCCCTTTGAAGTGAAGCTTTTCAAGGCAACATCCCCCATCCATGTGATGGTTTGACCTTGTGCTCAGATCTTGCCTCCAGCATGAGAGACTTTGAGGTATTTGTAGTTGTAGGAAAAAGCAGAGAGAACCCATAGGGCATGGCTGAGGAGACACCAGGCTGTCACCACAGCAGGCACCGGCTGGGCTGCCCATGAGGCACTCAAAAGGTGAACAGACCAAGCACCAGATCACCTCTACCCCAGGGTTTTATTCTAAACAAGATTCAAGGTAACAGGGGAACTGCAACTTACCAAAGAGGTGCTTTTTTAATAATAGAATCATATGAAATCTTTAATATTCAGCCATATACTTGCAGAAGACAAATAGATGCTAAACACTGCAGAACACAGCAGTTATTTCCAGCTGCAAGGCTATCACACTAAGCTTTATTCCTCACACTGTTAACACCTTTAGAATCATAAAACATATCCCAAGAAAAATTTGTGAAGAGAAGGCTTTAGAAAATAACAACTTAGAAGGTTAACTTAGTCCCTGTGGAAAACAGATCGTGGTTTTCAGCTCCGGTGCTACACTGAGGATAATTATAAACAAGGGGAAAGTATTCATGAAGCCAGTGGGTTTGTTTCAAGCCACCACTTACAGTAGTTCAGGTGTTCATTGTCATCATCATTGAATGATACCACAAAACATCATGTTGTGTAGCTTATAGAAACCATGGGATTAAGCAATCCCTATCACTAGTAAAATACTACATTAAAGTGCCAAATGTTTGTTCCACTTCACCTCCTGGGAGAGCTGCCTTCCCAGCCCCACTGCCTTTGTTCAGAGCTGGAAAAAACCTGTGCTGGGAGCAGAGGTGTAGATCATCACATGCTGATTTTCTTCAAGAACTCGGTGTCACACTGCAGCTTTACAGGAGCAAGTGATGCGTTTGGCTTTTCCAAGAGGCACAGTAGAAAATGAAACATCAATACAGCAGCAGTACTGAAAGCACAGGGCTCTTCCCTGACAAAAAGCACAGGGCACTTTAGCTTTCCAGTACTGGTGAAGGAAATGCAGTAGTTAATGATGCAAAACCCACCAAGAGATAAGGTTTGAGATGCCTTAATTACCATATTGTGTTGGTGTATTGCTGAGTCCTCAGGCTGCAGGTCAGCTTACACTGCAGGAAGCTCAAATACAAAAGCTTTGAGAGGGGAGGTCAGAGATAACATCTGCAAATTCTGTGGTTGAGCTGAACAACAATGCCACAAAAAGCCTGAAATACAGCTCCAGCCGGGAGCTGTAAGGTCCCTACAGCTCTTGCAGGATCAGGGAGGCACAGAGCTACTGGGAAGAATGGGTGAGGACACCCCTGCGTTATGCAGGGTTAAGAAAGGGGTGTTCTGCAGGTGTGGAGAACAACTGCCTGTGTGTCCAAGGAAGAGCTTGTCCAACCCCGGCCATCTGACTTCTAAGAAGTGTTATTTTCTCTAAGAAGAGTTGATTTACTTCAAGTACACAGATGATGGCATTATGCACTTGTGATTTCCACGAATGCGCTGAACCGGCGTTTCTGCTGCATCTCCCCCTCTCCAATACAACTTCATGCTCGCTTGGGCACAGTGATTACATCTTCTAATACTGCAAGAGCAGTGTAATTTTGTCGTTGCTGTGACAACCACGCTCTTGGTCAGACCTGAAGCAGCAGCTGGCTTCTCCACTGCCAGACCCTCACGAGTACAGCTCTTTGCTTCTTTCCCCTTCTAAATAAGCTGCCTATATATAAAGATTGTAGTAGCTTTAAAATAGAGAATTAAAAACTCTTTTTCTGCTTCCAAGAATCATGAGGTGGTTTGAAGAAGAATCACAGACTCGTTTGGGCTGGAAGGGACCTTAAAGCTCATCCAGTTCCAACCCCCTGCCACGGGCAGGGACACCTTCCTCTAGAGCAGGTTGCTCCAAGCCCCTGTGTCCAACCTGGCCTTGAACCCTGCCAGGGATGGGGCAGCCACAGCTTCTCTGGGCACCCTGTGCCAGCACCTCAGCACCCTCACAGGGGAGAATTTCTTCCTGATATCTAATATCAAACTCCCCTCTTTCAGTTTAAAACCATTCTCCCTCGTCCTATTAATACACACCCTTGTAAAAAGTCCCCCTTTGTTGGCACCCTTAGGCATTGGAAGACTGCTCTAAGCTCTCCCCTGAGCCTACTCTTCTCCAGGCTGAACACACTCTTTGTGTTTCTGTGAAGAAACAAACACATATTCCTCCAGTAGCTGTAGGAGCTCACATGACCTTAAGCACACTGAAAATCTTGCTTCCAATTAAGTATGGGTATTAGCTGCTGGCATTAGTAAACTAATGAAAGGATGGAAACCACAGCTAAAGGTAATGAAAGCTTTTACAGGATATCAGAGACGTGCCCAACAAAAATTAAACCCTGTGCTCTACATTTACTCTCTTTAAAAGAAAACCAGATATATTTTCAAATTAAGAACTTAAAAACAATATTACTGTGAAACGGTGTCTGGGAGAATGAACAAGACTGAGCACAACATAGGCAAGGAAAAGGGCAAGAATTCTACATAAACACATCTGAGTTCTGCTGCTGTAACCTTCTGGGTAGAGAGGAAACTACCACATTTTGCAAACATTAGGTTCATACCCAGTGCACTGCTTGGCCATGGTTTCAAATGCAACCAAGATGACAGAAAAGACTAATCTCCCTTTTACAACCCCATTTTTTTCATTTGTATTTTATACTGTCCTATTAAGCATTAAGATGGACATTCAAGAAGCAAACAAAGTCTACTTTGGTATCGTGAAGAGATCACTCCTTTAATAAAAACACTCACTTGCAAGTTTCTGACAACACTGTTGGTAATGAACCATGCACACACAGACCGAACCATGCAGCCACGTGGTTGTGGCTGAGGGAGCCAGCACTGCAATGGAAAACTGCGATGGTTCCACAGAGCATCCCCTGCTCAAGGCCCCCCAGAGCATTACCTCGTGTTGCTCCATGAGTGCTGAGCCAGGAGAGCCCAGAAAGCAGGACTGCAAAGAACCTGGAGCTACCTCCCCCAAACCATAACTTGGTTGACAGTAAAAGAAACTAGAAAGGAAGATTGTTAACTTTCTAAGTCTGATTTGCTGCAGAAAGTACAGCTCTTCTTCAGTTCACACTGCTTATCATACTGTCACTCCCCATCCTTGATAATACTGATGTTTAACCTCAGTAGCAGAAGCTACAAACCACCATCACTACAAATACAGGTTGCTTTGGAAAAGTAATTTAAGCAATTGGAAGTATTTATTGCAAACCAGCTTTTCTCTACCGTTGACGAGGCAGCCAGTAAAAAGTAAACAGAAAAACATTCATGAAACACAAACTGATTTAATTAGAACTGAAAAGGAAGTCATACTGCAGGAATAAAAACTCCAGATACACAGCAATTATGAATTATGAAGCTGCTGCTGACCTTGGAAAAGCATTTGGGAATTCATGACCAAGTATTCAGCCTTGAATTCTGAGGGAAAGGGAGGGAATACCCATGACCTTCTGAGTCCTTCAGCACCACTGCACATAAAACTGTACTACTTGATATATTTTTCCATGAATTTTTTGTGGAATTCTGATCGCAGAGTGTCATTCACAAATCTTTTGTCCTTTTTGGATTCATCTAAGCCCTTGGCACAATTCTTGAAGACAACATCATCATCCCATCTGAAAAGAGAAGTTTTGGACTTCAGTAAACTTGTATGAAGATGAGGTGCAATTCAGAGAAATACATAAATGAAGCTTGGCTTTTCTTTTAAATGGACATAGAACAAGTAGTCACCAGGATTAGATCTTAGCTTTCAAAAAAAAATAGATCTATTTTCTAATCCAAGCCATCTCCTGCATGTTCCTGAGTTAGAAGTGAGATGGGTATCAGTAGATTTAAGGTTATTTGATCTTACAGAAAATAAAGACCATCTGAGCAGAGCAGGGAAAAAACCCTTTAATCTAATGGCCTTAATTTTGATAAACACACCAGTCACTGGACTATCTGCAAACAAGAACTGTATTGAGAAAAGACTGCTATGGATTTAATTCTACACTAAAAAACATAAATAAAAGCCCCTAAAGCAGCCAGATTTTTTTAAAAGAGGAGCATAACGTAATTTCTTTCAGGAACTTTGGTCCTGTTGCTTTGGTCCTGTTTGTCTGCACAATGTCAGACAGACACAATTCTCAATCTCTTTCCCCCTTTTTTAAACAAAAGTAGCAGAATTATTTGTTCAGAGAAATGCAGAAGACAATCACCACACGCATCAGTATCCTGATTCTGCATTACACCGCTGTGACAAGGTCTGAGGAAGGAAATAAAACCCAACAGCAGTGATAATATTTTCTGACTCAGAGTAACAAGAGGGAGCAAGGGGATGGGTATCACAGTACAAGGTGCATGGTACCTCCTCTTCACTTTGAAGTTTGCCTGAGGCTGGGCTGGGCCAGTAAGGTTCAGCAGTGGGTTACCACTCAGGATGTTCTCCATCCGAATTCTTTCTTCTTCAGCCTTTTGCTCTTGTTCCTGTGAATCAGAAATGGATATACTACTTTTCTAGGCCACTTTTCTCATTTAGTTGGTAGAAAGAAATGTTATTTAGCTGTGAACACTCACAGAGCTTTAATTCCTAGCTCAGACTTCTCAGAGCATTTGACACTTGCATGAGAGTAAAGGATAGAAGCAGAGATATTCTAAAGAGCTTAACATGGCTAATAAACTGTCAATCTAGCAACATTCCTATCTGCTCTGCTTACCTCTGATGTCCCATCAAATATTCAGTTCAATTCGAGCGCTACCATTTACATATTTATTATATTAAAAACTATATACAGATTAAAAGCTTTCCTTTATCCTCATGAGAAAAGAGAGTACATTATACAGTATTCATTAGGTGGAAGAAACTTCAGTATGCTGAAACTTCTTTATCTTCAGCAATCTGCTTGGGTTTTACAACCACAGCTTCGCAAGGGACCAATTAAAAAGAACACTGAGAAATCTAAGGTGAAACTGAGCAGTGGAAGTCACAAGACTATTTAAGAGTTCCAATATTAAGGAACAGAAAAATTTTCATCTCCTTGTACTATCAAAAGCACATAACTCAAGCCTAAGCGAAGCAATGCATTACAGGCAACACAAAGCACATTTCACTGCCCACACTTCCAAGCTGTATTCATGTATTTAGTGACTTAAATGTTCACAGACTTCAAAATGAATGTGTAATATTCATTTTACATCAACATATTTTTCCTGAACCTTTTGAATACACTGCAAGGATTGCTCTTTGATGAAAGCACCAGAATAAATTCGGATGACTAACTAGGTCTCCCACTCCCTATATGCTTAAGTGTGCTCTGAAGACATTTTAGTTCAAAAATACACTGAAGTCTCATTAGCACTGTTGGAAACTAAAAACTGTGGCTGATAAAAGAATTATATAAACTAAAGACAAAGAGATCACAAGATTGTGTTGGTTTTTTTCCCATAACTACAGAAAATCCATGGCTGAGGGGATCCCAAAAGAGGAAACGTGTTTCTTGATGACACTGGTTCCAAGCTTTAAGTATAAGCTTGAACACTGATGCTAGCCAGAGCTCTCCAGCTTCAAACATTTAACCAATACCAAGTGATATATTACTAAAGCTATCTACAATTTATGATGGTTTTCAATTGGACTGATTGGGTATGTGAAATATTCCTATCACCCCAACTCTATCCCAACTCTTTTAAGAACAATACCACATTAACATACATAGGAATACCATGCACAGATGATGCAGGACCACCGGTAAAGATTTTACCTTTCAAAACCTGAGTTTTAGCTATGAAAAAACACCTACATTACACTGCTTCTCACAAACAGAATTTAGAACCAGCTGCCATTAATTGTCAGTGGGGTGGTTGCATTATAATATTCTTCCTTATTTACTGGGGTGGTAGTAACAACTGTAGTTGGAATGCAAATGTTGGATTTAAAGCTATGTTTGAAAATGCTTCAGTTCATCACAGACTGGTTTGGGCTGGAAGGGACCTTAAAGCTCATCCAGTTCCAACCCCCTGCCACGGGCAGGGACACCTTCCACTAGAGGAGGTTGCTCCAAGCCCCTGTGTCCAACCTGGCCTTGAACACTGCCAGGGATGGGGCAGCCACAGCTTCTCTGGGCACCCTGTGCCAGCGCCTCAGCACCCTCACAGGGAAGAGTTTTTTTCCTTATATCTGATCTCAAGCTCCCTTGTCGAAAGCCCCTTCCAGATTTCTTGTAGCCCCCTTTAGACACTGGAAGCTGCTCTGAAGTCTCCCTGGAGCCTTCTCTTCTCCAGGCTGAACAAGCCCAGCTGTCTCAGCCTGTCTCCACAGCAGAGGTGTTCCAGGTCTCTGATCTGATCATCTCTGTGGCCTCCTCTGGACTTGCTCTAACAGCTCCATGTCCCTCTTGTGTTGGGGGCCCCAGAGTGGGATGCAGCACTGCAGAGGAGGTCTCAACGGAGCAGAGCAGAGGGGGAGAATCACCTCCCTTGTCCTACTGGCCACACTCCTTTTGATACAGCCCAGGATACGGTTGGCTGCCGGCTCATGTCCAGCATGGATATGATCAACCAGCACCCCCAAGTCCTTCCCCTGAGGGCTGCTCTCAAATCCAGTCTATATTTTTATCTGCTTTACATAACGCATGCAATACCCTTCAGCTTCAATTAGCCTGACAGAGTTCACTTTCTGGTAGCAAATAAAGCATTATCAGACTGAAGTGATGAAATGTGGTGACAGGAAAAAAAAAGGGAACTCAAAACTGAAATAACACTTTTAAGAAGCATTACGCTACAAGGAGTAGTATAAGACTAAGAGCAGAATTTAGTTCCAGATTAAGACACCTGCAACTAGACATCTGCATCTGCTTGTAGGCACCTGAGCTCACATCTCAGAGAGATCTAGAGAATACAGTAAGGAGTCAAGATGGCTTTTCTGCTCATACTGAATTACACACACAGAGGACACCAGCCATGCTGCAGGCTCTACTGGTTGCACCTCCACTGCACCACCATGGAAGCTGGCATACGGAACTTGTACATCAACCCAAACTACTTGGCACACCAAGCTCAACTAAGTTCTGTCCAAAACTACTAACTGCCAGCAAAACCCTACATCGACTCAAGTCAACCACAATTCCAGAGGACTGGAGGGTAGAAGTAATTGTACTATAATTAGAAGTGGTAGGGGCAATCTTGGGAATTTCAAATGATTACATTTTACTTTTGCACCTATTAAAACCAATTACGAACATAATGTGAGCAGAAGCTGTCAAATGTTCTTGTATAGTGACACCAGGAACATAAAACATCCACCAGTCTTATTTTCAAACACCGATTCTCTATATTCACATTACGAGACGCTGCAGAGCCCCTGGCACTTCGTGTGATCCTTTGCTGCTTCTGAGCTCTCCTCACAAACAGAACTCTGCTGTCTTCCAGACACATAGAGGCAGAACAACCAGAAGTAGTAACAAACTGCATTAGTTTATCTTTGTCATTAAAGAGCGACAGATGAGAGTCTGAAAGCAAACAGGGAACAGCTCTGTTGAGTAAGGCAGTGCCAGTTTTAGGCACATTACAAAGACCCAGCACGCATGGCAACTTATCTATGGAATTTAGGCATTCCCATGGCAGGGAGATTGGAACTAGATGATCTTTAAGGTCCCTTCCAACCCAAACCACTCTATGATAAAGCTGTTCCAGGCTGGATGACATTTTAACTTATCTGCTATAAATTTTAGGAAGAAGACTAATTCTGAAGATTAGTCTTGAAGATTTTTTGTATTATTTGGCTTCACTAAAAACTCCCAAAGAAGGTATCCAAGACTTAAAACATGGTAATTTACTAAGTTTTGTATCTTAGAGGCATGACATGGAGGAAATACGAGGCGCAACTCACAGTGGTGTAAAACTGACATTTACACTTAAGCTAAGCAATGCATTTGGCCAGAGCTGCAGACTCCCTCATCTCCAGCCAAAAGAGGTTTTCATTATGTTTCACAACTTTCCACATAAATCTCCCACTGCACGCTCCGCTGAAAGCTCCAGGCGATGGAGCACGGGCTGTACCAAACCTAACAGACCAGACGTAACCTTCATAGCTGTCTGAGCTTCACACCTCTGAGGCACCATCAAGTGCAGCTGTTCACAGAATTAGAGGCTCTGCTTGCTCCCAAGCCTGCACTGTTCTTTTGTGTGGTGGAACAAAGGCTTATTAAGCTGAAACACTATGGCTACAACAAACCCACAACACAAGAAAAGCCTAAGGGGAAAAATAATACATGTGTATTTACTCCACCCTTTCTAAAGTAATGCCTCTTTGCCTGCCTGTCTGTTCAGCAAGAGGTGTACAACTTTTTTCCTAAGCCGTGTTAGCAAAAATCCTGCTCCAGACCGTTCTCTCCCTATGGACAGCAGGGCTGTGCTTTCCAATGGCAGCACGTTGCACCAGCTGCCTACAGAGATGAACTGGATGTCAACCATGTTGTAACCACTGTGCTAGAGGCAGAGGCAACAGAACAGGAATATTATGGTGTGGGGAATGAAACTGGACTGGCGGAAGGAGCCCCATATCCCAGGAAAGCAGATGGAGACGCTGCTCTGTGAATGGATCTCACAGCAGGCCTTCACTGTACAACTGAACTCACCATGTGGCATCACAGCTGGGGGAAGAAAAAAGGAGGACAAAACTATATTAACCTTAACTAAACAATTATTCTTTATCTTGCTGTAAGAATAACAGTCCCTTGGCACATTTGTTTCTGACCACAAAGGAAAGAAAAACATTATTGTTACCATGGTTATTTTGTTTTAGTATAGCTCCTGCCCTTAGCACAGAGCAACAGTACTTTTACAGAGTGCTGAAATCCTGAAATGACTCCACTGTATTAAAGTTATCCTACTCAGTTTTTAGGGATGTGAAGTAGCTGAATGAAAACTTGAAATACCCACATTTCATTGAAGACTGGAAAAAAAAATAATTATTCACATAACCTTATTTAAACGCTAATTTTTGCATGACTGCACTGCCTTTAGCAGCAGGGAATAAAACAAGTTCCACCCCAGTTATTTGGTCCTATGTGAACTCCTAACTCTATGTAACACAGTGATTCACATAACTGATTGAAACCTCAAGAAATAAGAGCAAGGAGTAATCCCAACTGTGGTGTCTATACACAGATTTGTTGTCATTTTGCTCACAAGGGAGGAGACATTATTGTTAGATCTTGGAAAGAGGAAATATTGTGAGCATGTCTCTAACATTTAATGAAGAAACACACTCTGCCACCTGATTTTGCCTCTTTACTGAAATTATTTCTTCATCATCAATCTTAATCATCGAGACCCTTAAAGTGAAAGGGTTAATGTCTATCAATGTCTGGTGAAGTGATATATTCAGTTATAGAGGGTGCTGAGGCACTGGAACAGGCTGCCCAAAGACATGGTAAATGCTCCATCCTTGGCACTGTTCAAGGCCAGGCTGGACAGAGCCTTAGGTGACATGGTTTAGTTAGAAACACTTGGTGAAATCATAGAACCATAGAATGGTTTGGGTTGGAAAGGACCTTAAGATCATCTAGTTCCAACCCCCTGCCATAAGCAGGGACACCACACACTAAACTATGTCGCCCAAGGATAAAACTGTTCAACCCAAACCAACAACTTTCAGTCTGTTCTCAGATAAAATGTCTGGATGTTAAAATAGCTTTGCTGGAACTGCACATTCAGCTGCTCACTGGTTTGAGGTTTGGTTTTAATTATTTCCATTTACCTTTTAAGGAAGTGCTCAAAAACTGAAAATCAAGAGCTCTGTAACGCTGGATTTGGAATATTGAAATGTTTCCATGAAACCTATCCATGGATAGTTCACACACACACAGAGCAGACCTGTGCTTGTACAGTTTTAGACAGACTCAGAACTGGGACAGAAATGGCCTTCAGAACCAAAATGTCCTGGTCAGCTTAGTGTCTAATAGAAACAACCTGAGAGATTAAAATGATGGAGAGCTGGAGAAAGTCAGGAGGACTCCTCCACTCCATCAGGTTTTAAAAACATGTGTAGTATTTATTTCATGTTTCTACAGAATTCAAGGAATTTAAGTATTTTGAGACGTTAACAAGACTTAACAGGAATTGCTTATTTGGTTGACAAACTGTTTGTGTCACAGGTTACAGGGAAGTATCAGCATGAAGGAAGTGAGACCTTCTTAATTCTAATACTTGTCAAAATAAGGTTTAGGGGATTTCTATGGAAATTGGTATTACCACATAAGGGAAATGAACAGAAGGCAGGATGAGCTGAAAAAAAGCAGTTTCTGATCTTTTGTTTTTAACTGCTGTCTCACCAGAGATGCATCTGAAAATAAGGAGTCTTCCTTTCACAGCAACTTAAATACTGGACACCAAAGTGATGATGGAAAACAGTTAACAAAGATACAGTTTACTTTAAAAGAAGTCTCAGAAATTATTGGACCAGCATTTTAATAAATCAAAATAACTATCAGGGAAAAAAATACATTTTGCACAAATTTGGGATATATTACTGTATTTTACCCTCATCATCTTGTTACAACCCCATCATGTTCCAAGATGCAGAGACATGTTAATCTGTCTGTATAACAACAAAGAGATTTGAGAATGATGTGAGGAGAAAAGAGTGAAGAGGCACTCATCCTGCAGCTTCCCTTTGCCTTCCCACTGGTTTACCCACTCTGCCTACTGTGGACAGCAGTTTCAGCATATAAACCACCCCTGTACGTGGATTAGGACTAACAGTGACTACACAAGTAAGACTTCACATGAGATGTTACCCTGAATTCAGCTGCATTACTAACACAGGGTTACTTACAAAACTGGGTTTAAGTTACAGTTTGCAATACATAACAACATCAAAAAATACCACATATCTGAGGCGAAAAAGGGTTTCTATAAGATGGCTATAAAATGTTTTGCCAGTAACACCTTCTTTCAAAGCCATGGAAAATAAAGCATAGTCTAAGTAGATTGCACCACTAAAGCCAACACACACACATGATCATTCCTAAGGACACTCATGCTCCTAAAGACTCTTTCCAAGGCTGCACCCCACTTTGGTTTTTACTTTTGCCATCAATATTGTCCTAGTTTCCTACTCTCAAAAATTCCCAAGAGAATAAAATTCCAAGTACCTGCAGAGCACCCACTATTTACTGAAGATGTCAATTTTTAAGAGAGCCTATTTTGCCACCAGCCAGTGTCGGGATGAACAGAACACACAATGAGTGTGCAATACTGTGCACTACTGCGCACTACTGCATGTAAATAACACTATGCTTTAGGAAGAAACAAACTTATTAATTTCAGGTAAGTGTGCATGTATTCAGTATGCACATAGCACTGGATAAACTCTCTTCTGGGGGAAGGAGAACCTCCATAAAGGTAAAAAATAATACCAGTTACGAAACAGCAAAGTAAACCAAGTGCCATACTAAACACTTCATAGCTTTTAGCACCCTCTAGTGACAAAACATTGATGGTAACATTCATGCTTTCTGCACAGGAACAGGGAAGCATGCGCTCAGTCTGTGCTGCAATTTACTGCTGTTCTTTTTCTAATGCAAGTTTTCTACAGTGAAACGTGACCAGTTACGCTCTTTAATCCAGACGTGCATTTACAGCTATCAGGCAAAGCAAGAAAAACCCTACAGATCTAAGCTTTCATTTAAGCACTGCGGAGAACAGCTGAAGTAGAAGTCTTTTCTAGACATTGCTCCCCTTAATTTGTAGGTTAGTACATTTCACACGGGAACACATGGCAGAACTGTTGACAGTGGTTTCTAGTCATTTTCACCAGGTTATTATTGCAGAACACAACTTCATTACTGTGTGATGTGCTTCAAATGCCCCAGTAAAGATACGAGAGACGCTTTCAGACACACTCTAATGTAAAAGACCACTCACAGGCCAGATGGCGAATCAAGTAACAGTTTTCTACAGCAACATTTCTGCACTGAAGCAGCACAGTACAGAAGCTTTTACCCTTCCAAAGTACTTCATTCCAAAATTGCTTCAAACTCTGAACAAAGCTCATTGATTTTGCAGACCTTCCTGATTCTAAAGGTAGATTTCTGTATTGTTAGCCTGCAGTAAGCAAGCACTCCATTGCTGCTACAGCAGTTAATACATTATTCCCTCCCGGCTGTCCCTAGTTTCTGTTAGATGCTATGACTTGTCCACTGCCACCTTACTCTACTGGAGAGCATCCTTGAAAAACACTAAACTCTAAGTGTGTGTGTTAATCTAGAGGAAGGTTACAAGTAGTTCAGACACAACAAAACATTAGGTTGTCACAGTAGCCTTTGATTAGCCTCTTAATCAGCACTTAATATGTTTATTTAGCATGTTCCAAACCCCATCTTAGATTACCCTATAAAAACATGACAGGTGGCTTGTTTGGGAGGTATGTGGGGTGTGCTTGCTTTGGGGTTTTTGTTTTGGTTTTTTGCACTAATCATAGAATCAGCTAGGTTAGAAAGGACCTTTAAGATCATCAAGTCCAACCATTCCCCCAGGACTGCCAAGGCCACCACTAAACCATATCACTAAGGGCCTCATCTATGTGTTTTCTGAACACTTCCAGGGATGGTGATTCCACCACTGCCCTGGGCAGCCTGTTCCAAACATACAAAACTACTCCAGCTGAAGCATTCAACGTTTTTCAAAAGCATAGTTTATAGTTTGCTATTTAAGGCCTGGGAATGTGCCTAGTAAAAGTGGAAGAGGGAATGCTGCACATACCCACCACTTCTGCTGCACCACCAGAGGCAGAGCGTTTCTGTACTGTGGATGAAATCCCAGGGCTCTAAACTCTGCTGCAATACAGGGGTAGAGCCAGTACAGTTCATCCTAAATCCTGATCAGCTTGACAACGCAGACTATACCGATCAACAGTCCCTAGAAGTCCATTCATCCATCAGTGATTTTGCTCATGCATGCTATCCCAACAATCTCTCTCACACCAAGGAGGTGTGGGAGCCAAAAGCATAGGATTTGATCCCATTCATGGGGAAACAATCTCTAATCACAGGATGTCTACTAAAGATAAACGTAATCTTGACAACAATTATTAGATAGCAGAACAAATTCATCATACCTGAGAAGAGGTTTGAAGGACACTTTATTTACCAGTTCTCACTCAAGTACTTAAGGCACACCAGGTTTAATAAACACTGGTTTGCAAAAAGCAGGTGCTCTTTAATAGGTGAGATTTTACCTTTCGAGCCTGTTCCTCAGCTCGTTCTTTCTTGATTTTCTCCAGTTCAGCCAGAAGAGCTGCAGTGTCATCATCATCACTGTCTTCCAAGTCCTCATCTTCATCATCTTCCTAATAACAATAAATGGGAACAAGAAACTTCTTTTCATTTAATAGAAATAGCCTTGGTCTGCCCAGCTAAGGCTGCAATTTGCTAATGGCTGATTTCTGAAGTACTTGGTGCTTGCACCACCAGCAAACACAGTACAAATGGTTTATTTGCTCTTGTACAGAAAAGTCAGGACAAAAATATCTTTGTGCTTTTTGGATGACTGCAGTTAAAGTTTTTATAATCCAAATGCTAAGTAGCTAACAGATTCCAGAGCATGGCTGTCCCAAGTCACTCTCTAATCATTGTAATATAAGTCTTTGTAACAGGGTGCCTAAATACCCTGTCCAGTATTATTTGGACCAAATATAACAGGATTAAAAAACCTCAGACCTAACTCCTAGACATCAGCATAAGGAGAGGATCCAGGAGCAAGAATCCACTGCTCATGAAGACAGTCAGTGTGTTTCAACAGTTCTACCTCTGGGGAATTCTAACTAACCCAGTAGTTGACTGAAGTGTAAAAAGTCACCCATTCCCCATACTTTAAGTGGTATTTTCAGTTCCCTAATATTTGTGCCCTTTCCAAGAATACCATGAGACTATGGACCAGAATCCTCTGAACCACTCTGGACTTCCACCAGACTAACCCAAAAAGGAAGATCTGTTGGAACCTGTTTTAAATCTTTAGCAAACCTAAAAGCACATGTTCTATTAACAGCAAATCCTGAAGGCAAGACAATGAAAAAGGAAAGAAGACATAAAAAAGATACATACATCAGTAAGGGGATCATCTGCATCAAGATTTGCTGCTGGAATCTGGTCTAGCCGAGGCTTCTTAGACACAGAAGATGATGTTGTGTGTTCTATGGCATAAGATTTAAGAAACAACAAAAAAATTACTAAGTCATCTCATTTAACAGAATCAAATGTCAGAAAGCAAAAATCTTCACAAACTGTCCTGCATTAGAGTAAGAGATAGAAGCTTACACTTACTCCTTCCTCACTTCTCAATGTTAACACCATGCCCAGTTCCTCTCCCCCTCTGCTCAAGGGAAGCAGAAACATCCCCAAACTTCCGACTAGGCCTCCAGAAGTTTTCTGAAGTCATTGTTTCACAAAGAAAGAACAGCAGCAGAAAAAGCTGTGCAGAAATATCCTTATTCTACATACCCAATTGGAGGGTTGCCATTGAGCATTACTGTTGGCTAGTATGGTCCAAACCACATCTGCTTTCATCTGTGAATTTGAAAGCCCCACAATACTGTCCCACCTAAATTCTGTCAAGCTGAATACTAAAAATGAGTATTTCTCAAAGCAAACCCCTCAGGTTTCATTTTAATTATCACTTCACCTTATAGGAACAGAATTCCACACTTCAAAAACGGATTTATTGTTACACTAACGCTGTAAAACGAGAAGATGAGTCATTCCCCCTCTCTTTCCTGTCTCACTTGTCCAAGCACAAAAAAGAGCCCTCTATTAGCTGTCCAGACTTGTTGCCAATTCATTACACTCACACTGTATCAGCTGGCCTGCAGGATGCCTGTGCTCTCCTACTGCTGGCCTGGATTTCTGCTAGCATGAAGCCAGCAGGAAAGCCAGCGGACATTCCCTTGCAGGTCACCAGCTCTGAACTATCAGATCAATACCCCAAATTCTACTCTCATGACACGCTGTCTGCAACCTGCAAACTTCTTACAACACTAAGTTATGCACAAGAGCAAAGCCACACGAAGCTATTTGGATGTTTGTTTCTTTACCTCTGGTTTGTCTGTCTCTATTCTTCTCTCTCGCAGCGACACGTTCTCTCTCCTCCAGCTCCCTTCTGAAATCCCGGTTACGCACCTCCTCAGGAGCATCCTGAGTGGCCTGTCTACAACAACATGAGAGGGGAGAAAAAAGCTGAAAGGGACAGTCTGCAGCTGGGAGAAAATTTTTCATGGAGGCCAATAAATCCTGGCGTGAACAGGTAAGCACAGAGAGTAAGAACTGAGTACCCTGTAGACACATGTTTGTTTATTCTCTCTCTATCAGTCTCCTTTTCTGTATGCATCACACACACACAGACATGCAATGCTACACACACATGCTGCTTCCTTCCAGTGGCTCTCAAATGACCTTACACAAATTCCTACAAAACCAGGATAAATACATCTACCTTTTGTAGCTACCTCTAAATCTTGCTCCCCAGCAGACACCCACGAGAATCATAGTCCATTTCCCTCACTGTTTTATCATCCAAAGCTGCTGCTGCAAACCTGGTCTCTGAAGCTTACAGATAAGAGCAAGTCCAGAACACACTTTTCATAAACTTTTCCCCTCTGAGAGACAGATAATCTCCCATGACCACTAAAAACAAAAGCTGGGAGAACAGGCAAAACACTAGCTTTGGTGAAACATTTTGCAAATACATGTTTCTCCCCTTTTTATATAATAAAGACTGGCCAAAAGCAACAGACTATTTATATCTGAGCCACATAAAGTTCCACCTAGAAAGCACTGGATTTTCTGTGGAAGTCTGGAAAAGAACTAATGAATAAAAACAAGCAGCAATTCCTTTCACCCTCCTGTGAACCCAGTGCTGGAAATAAGAGTGCCTGGAAGAAACCCAGGCAGGAGCCATTATAAATAAATACTGTGCACAGACTGTCTTTATGATGAAGTATTTAATTTACTTGTGCAATTAAAAACCTGGATCTGGAATCCCTGATCTAGCTGCAAAATCCTCCCAAACTCTGTGAACATGAGTGGGGCTAAAACGCTGAACTCCTCTTGCAATGGTGCAGTCCTGGCAATTTAACAAAGACAACTTTGTATGAGGTATTTGGGAGAAAGACAAGAAGACACTTCATGCCCCCTCCATCTCTCTCTCACACACAGGGAGATACTTGTTAAAACATACTTTGTATATTCCTGTACATGTTTATCCCCACACACTTCATTCAAACAACAGACCTGTGTCCCCAACCCTGCTTTTGTTTGAAGAAACAAACCACCAGCAATGTTTCCCATAACAACAAAATGCATTTGACACCACTTTTTGTGCTGTTGGATTTGGTTTTCTCCAAAACACTCCAACTCCCTTATCCATACATGTTCCTAAAAGCCAAACGGACAAGAGGGAAGAGGTGAAAGGGTAAATATCTGGACAAAAAAGCGCAAACATAAAACCTTCACAGTAATTTTGCTGACAAGAGTAACATGAATTAGATAAAAAGAACATTTTTAGGCTGACACTATTCAAACTCTAGGCATCGTATCACACTGACTCCAGTTTTCACTTAATCTCTCAAAAGCATAATGAAGATTAATTATGCATTTCAAAGAGAGGAAAATATTCCTAGTATTCCATCATTTTTCTTACTGATTAAAGCCATTTCCTCTCCCAGCACCTGCAGTGTTTAACATCAGCTCTTCCAGCATGTACCATTGTCCAAATGTTATTCCATGATTTCCCTGCCTCGTCTTAATGCCCTTCCCAAGTGGTCCTTGCCAAATACATGATGTGGTTTTCCTGCTTTTAAGACATTCTCAGCTATGCCCCCTCTTACCCCATCTTGCTCTGCACTGAGCCCTCCGTGGCTCAGCCCCAATGACAACTTTCTCCTACTCCACTGCCCAAAATGTTTGATCTCCAAAGCTCACCTTCTTCCACTATCATGTCCATAAGCAGTAATAACACCACTAAAATTAAGCCTCTCCAGTTGCCTGCAATGCATTTGATCTCCAGGTCTGCTTCCGAGACTTATACTTTCAGCCCACTCACTCAGCACTGCCTGTTCAGTGCCAAGCACATCAACATCTCTTGTGACAATTGCAGAGTACTGCTCATTCCCAGCCTAAAAAAACCAATACTAACCTGTATTTGATTTTAGTATGAGAAGGAAGGTCTCTGCTGGAATATTGTTTGGAGAGCTGACTTAAGTCTCCTTCACCTTTTCCTCTTCCTCCTCTTGCAGGTTCAAACGTTGGCCTCGCTGCTGTTGTCATTTTAACTACTACAGAATGAAGGGATAAAACCAGTTGTTACTACAACATACAGTGAAACAGTTTCACCAGGAGCTACTCTGTTCCTGGAACTACTGAAGTAACAAGTCCCACTACAGAACATCAGCTATCACTTGGTTCATAATCCCTGAAATGTAAGGAGCTTTTTATTGACAGAATCTACTCAGATTTTCAAAGTAAAGTCTTTTCCAACATGCTTGAAAGATGATACACACACGCTAGCAAGAGTATGAAGCTATGTCTGTAAAGTAAACAGAACTGTCCAGGAGCTGATCTCCTATCCTTAAGAAAGCAGTACAGTCTTGTAATTGAACTCTTTTCCCTCCTGCAATGACAGCCAAAAATAACAGACTCCTGGGAATGACTCCTCATTTATTCCTCAAACCATATCTAAGTATGATCACCAGAAACACAGACTGACACATAGCACAGCATGCCCAGGATGGTGTTGATAACTAAATACCAGTGAAGATCACGTAACATGAACGCTCCAGCCCTCATTGTGGCCCTGTTCAGCTCTGTACCTCCAGGCACAGCACTGTCACCAGTGCTGCAGCACAGTCCTTTGGAAGTGACCTGCGCAAAGCTCCTGAAGGGCTGGCGTCAATGCCTCCCTGGTAGTACAAGGCTTTACCCTTTGGTAAGCCAAGTGCAATAAAAAAAGCTCAAACAAACGCAGAAGTTTCCACCAGTTCTCACTGAGAACCTGCAGCAGCTCACATACCACCAGCAAGGCCTAAAAAATTCACTACCTGGTGCCCAAAATCGTTCCTATCAATTCTTGTGTGGCAAAGGAGTGAAACAGACTGGGATCAGCCTCAGCCAGCAGACACCACATCAGCAGGCACTGCATTCAGTGCTGCACATGGAAGCTGGGGACCCTGAAATCCCAAACCACTGTGCCAAGAATCATCGGATCAGCTACGTTGGTAAAGTCCTTTAAGATCACCAAGTCCAACCATTCCCCCAGGACTGCCAAGACCACCATTAAACCATACCACTGAGGGCCTCAGTTTTAAGATGTTTAAGATATTAGGATGCGGGTTTTAAGATGTTTAACCAATGCCAAAAAACTCAACACGATCAACCAGTGACATGTTAAATCTACTATCTGAAACTGTGCTCATTCACATGCTTCACCAAGACACACACATCCATTAGCCACAGAGTGAAGATACGACACAAGATCTGCAGATGTATGTATGACAAAAGAACATACTAAAGAATGCTAAAAAGCAAAGAAAAAAACCATGCTTCATATGCTTTTGTGACACACAGATAAAAGTCATTAATGCTCTATTTGCATTGTTCGTTATTTTTTCACTTTTAATGAGATCACAAGGCACGACTTCAGTGTTAAAAGGATCAAATAACTTGTTGCTCAAAATAACAGCCCATCAGGCAGCACAGTTACTGCCACCAAACTGCTTGGTAAGGCAGCACCCAGCCTTGGCTCAGTAATGCCTTTCAGTGACACTGTGCAAGTCAGCTGGAGCTCAGCAGGACACTTCAGCTCTGCCAGCCCCATGATCCAAGAAAGCCACCTGCTCTCAGACTTATCTCTGCTAATTACATGTAACCGGGGGCTCCATGAATGCAGGTGAAGAACCAGATCCGATGTGGCTGCATAACTGCGTGAAGCATTAAGAAATCCCCTGGAAACTGTCCCTGCTTTTCTTAAGTCAGCTCGTATTCGGCTCGGTCTTAAAGGACCCAAACTCGACCTGAAACCACCCAGGGACCGTCACACCGACCTCTAGGGTTTCGGAAACGCAGCCCTGCGGACGCCTGCTTAGCGCGACACGGACACAGGGACAGTGCCC